GGGAAGGCGGTCGGCCCAGATGGAATACCAGTAGAAGTGTGGAAGTTGCTGAGGGCGGATGGATGGAAGTGGTTGAGTTTATTTTTCGGTAAATTGTTGCAGGAAGAACAAATACCTGAGGAATGGTGCAGTAGTATACTGGTTCCCATTTTTAAAAACAAAGGAGACGTTCAAAACTGCAGCAGTTACCGAGGAATAAAGCTCATGTCACATACGATGAAAGTCTGGGAAAGAATAATAGAGAGAAGAATGAGAGAAGAGTGTGAGATAACACAAAACCAGTTCGGATTCATGCCCGGTCGAGGGACAGATGCCATTTTCGCATTACGCCAATTGTGCGAAAAGTACAAGCGCGTGCATAAAGATCTGCACATGGTTTTTGTCGACCTTGAAAAGGCGTACGATCGGGTTCCCCGTGAGGTCTTGTGGTGGGCGTTAAAGATGAAAGGTATGCCTGGGTAGTATGTGAGGTTGGTCCGTGCTATGTACAGAGCATCCCGTACATGTGTACGATCTGCCGCGGGAACTACGGGCAGTATCGATGTGGCGGTAGGGCTGCACCAAGGGTCGGCACTGAGCCCTTACCTCTTCCTACTGATTATGGACGCTTTGACGTCAGACCTGCAGGATGAGGCACCCTGGTGCATGCTCTTTGCCGATGACATCGTGCTTATCGGGGAAGAAGGCATCGAGGTACAGAGCAGACTGACGGGGTGGCAACGGAGGCTGGAAAGTGTTGGCCTGAAGATCAGCAGATCCAAAACCGAATATCTGTGCTGTGATTTCGGCGGTCTTTCCAGTCCTGTACCCATGTCGTTGGATGGCGCTATACTGCCTATCTGCTCAGATGTCAAGTACCTCGGTTCCCTCATTCAAGGCGACGGCGGAATAGATAGAGCTGTGCAGCATAGGATGAACGCAGGGTGGATGAAATGGCGACAGGTCACAGCCACAACGTGCGATCCCCGAATGCCAATAAGGCTGAAGGGGAAAATTTACAAATCGATCATCCGACCTGTCGTCATGTATGGAAGTGAATGCTGGGCCGTCAAGAAGAAGGATGAAAATAGACTGCATGTGAATGAAATGAGAATGTTACGATGGATGTGTGGTGTGACAAGGATGGATAAGATAAGGAATGAGTATATAAGAGGAAGCCTGAAAGTAGCGCCAGTGGTAGAAAAGGTGAGAGGAAGCAGATTGGCATGGTTTGGGCATGTGATGCGGAGGAATGAAAGTCATGTCACAAAACGAGTGTTGAATATGAATGTGGAGGGACACACGGGCAGAGGAAGGCCGAATAAAAGATGGATCGATTGTGTGAAGAGTGATATGAGAATGAAAGGAGTAAGTATGGAAATGACGGCTGATAGAGAGGAATGGAACAAAAAGATTTACTGCGCCGACCCCAGATAATGGGAAATGGTTTAGAGAATGATGATGAATGATGATGATATTTTAAACCTGTTTAACATATCTTATTACATTTATAATATAGGAACAATATGAGCGAGTTGGCTAGTGCTAATACTTCCTAGCTAAAATTAGATGCAAAGTACCTCATACACACGTCCTGAGGCCACCTCTCATAAAAGAGTTCTCTAAGCTGAGCTAAGAAAAAGCTGGTGAAGAAGATTTCTGTCGTAGGTACATTTTAATTGTTAAACATGCAGTTTTCTTTTTTGTTGTCACCCGATATCGAACTTAGTTATCTCGCGTACTATGCAATATTGAAAAGGGTGCTCATACCCTGAGTAAAGAATCTACCTACGTGGCGTTCATAATAATTTATCCTGGCGTTGCTTTACGTGGTCATCAAGTTGTCAAATCAAATAATAAATTTTAATATATATGCATGTATTCTTCATAGCAATAAGATTGAAAATTGAGGACACGTTCCATCCGACGGTAAGTACATTTTGTGGCCCAGACACCTATACCTTTCCCCAGTAAATGCAGATCGCACTCTGAGGTCACTCCTAAGGACTAAGATGGAATGCTTAGTTATCACTAAAAAGTAGTTTCTCGTTCTCTACACTCACCATACGAAATACAACTACATTTAGAAGCTATTTCACACTGATATTTTGTGCGAGCATGGTCCTTTCCTGGTCGAGCGAGTGAACCTATAGCCTAATACGCTGCAGCGTGTCTTGACTTGAAGCTGAAGTAACAAATGAACTTATAGCCCACCAGATATTTCAATATATTTTTATATGTGGTAGAGCCATGCTGCAGCTATATTAGTAGTATAGTTGTAGCACGAATGGGTCGGTTCGACCGGGGAAGGACCACGCTCTCACAGAATACCAACGTAATATAGCAGCTTTACGCTGCTGTGTTTCGTATGGTGAGTGTAGAGAACCGGAGACCCTTTTTACTGAAAAAGAGGCATTCCATCTTAGTCCTCAAGGCTGACAACGCATCTGCATTTTGATTCGCAAACGAGGATAGATTTAGATGTCTATGGGCCACAGAAACCACTTACTATCAGGTGGATTGTGTGCTCGTTTGTCACCCTTATCCTATAAAAAAAAATTTGTCACTTCAGTTTTATTAAAAAAGTTTTACACCATATTTCGTATGTAGGGGCTGTGATTTGATTTAATCTTATCTGATATTAGATTGTCAATAAACTTGTACGAGTGTCTTGTAATGCTTGTCCGTATAACACATTGTAGTGTTAGAACAGTTTGATTAGCAAAAGACTCATAGATTAGTACAGAAAGGCTCATCTAATTAACAGTTCTTTATCGCATAATCAAGTATTATATCTGTTTGCTATGGATGAAGCGTAAATACGAGTAGATACTACGTAATTTTATATTTCAACTTTAATAAGATATCGTAGGATTACATACAGTTGTAGTACAGATAAAAACCTTTTTTTTCTACGTGGTAGAGCCATGCTGCAGCTATATTAGTAGTATAGTTGTAGCACGAATGGGTCGGCTCGACCGGGGAAGGACCACGCTCTAGAATACCAGCGTAAAATAGCAGCTTAACACTGCTGTGTTTCGTATGGTGAGTGTAGAGAACCGGAGACCCCTTTTACTTGAAAAGAGGCATTCCATCTTAGTCCTCACGGGTGACAATGCATCTGCTTTTTGATTCTCAAACGCGGATAGATGTAGATGTCTATGGGCCACAACAACCACTTACCATCAGGTGGACTGTGTGCTCGTTTGTCACCTTATCCTATAGAAAAAAACCGGCCAAGTGCGAGTCGGACTCGCGCATGAAGGGAACCCTTCATGCGCGAGTCCGACCATGCTGTACCATCGTATAACACGTTTCCAGTAGGGGAGCCCCCCTTTAATTTTTAATTTATTTTTATTAGTTGTTGTTATAGCAGCTACAGAAATACACATTTTGTGAAAATTTCAACTGTCTATCTATTATTGATCATGAGATACAGCCCGCTGACAGACAGACGGACGGACAGCGGAAGCTTAGTAATAAGGTCCTGTTCGTTACCCTTCGGGTACGGAACTCTGCAAAACAGTACTTTGATGAATAAAACAAAAATAAAAATAAATAAGAGAACATAAACATGATAATTTAAAATTAAAAATTTTGTACAGCCGACTTCAATATAATTTATTAAGAATAACTCAATAACTATTGGTCTGACCTTGATCACACACACGAGAAATATCAGCTTTCAAATAAGAAAACAATCATCGAAATCGGTTCACCCAGTAAAAAATTATGAGGTAACACACATAAAAAGAAACATACAGTCGAATTGAGTACCGTCTCCCTTTTGGAAGTCGGCAGAAAAAAAGATTGCATGTGTGACATGATGCTGAAAAGGGCACTGGCTCAACATATTGCTGCCGCACGATTGCGGTAGCGCTGGTTTTCAGTAAGTAAAGGTTAAGGTTGGGCTTGCCCGCGAGGATAGGGTGTACGCTATATATTTCTAGGTTCAAAAAATATTATCAAAATAAATAAATAAATAACGAGATATCAGAAAGGTATAATGAAATAGAACAGAAAGATATATATAGAATAGGCAAATTTTATTACGTTCACATTAACTTATTTACCGGATCAGTTATTTTCTACTCTATTTCTAACTTATTCCTAAAAAAAAACTACCTATAATACATACAGAATAAAAAGATAAATGTTCATCATCATCATTATCATAACAGCCCTTCACAAGTCCACCGGGCTGTGTAGTGGCGGTGTAAGAATAACCGCTAACCCATATCATCCCGTGGGTGTCGTAAGAGGCGACAGAGTGAAACTAATCAGGAGATTGGCAGCAGCGCCTTCGTAATAATGACTAAAAATAAATATATAGCAAATATCCTCCTATGAGGCAATCTATGGCGGAGGCCTATATTCAGCAGTGGAGTTTAATAAGCTGTAATGGTAGTGCTAACAAGTCCCCTGCTGAACATAGGCTTTCCTCAAGGAATGTCACAAAGCACGTTCCAGAGCCACCTGCATCCATCGACTTTCTGGGCAGCCCTACACTTCGCTTCCACTCGATAACCTTTTTTTCCCATCGATTGTCGGTTCTTCGAGCTATATTGCCCACCCATTGCCAATTCATATAAATGTTAGTCTAATAAATGGAAAAGAAAAAGCATGTACGATAATTCAAATGATTATAATAATGTCAATTCACACAAACACAAGTAATAAGACAAATATTATTAAAGGGATGTGTTCACAATCTTACATTATAAGTACCTAAAATGCTTTAGGAATTGCTACCTTGCAGCTATGTCAATTTACAATAAACCCTTATTTAATATTATAATTATTTAATAATACTTTAATTCTTTGAGTTATTGATACAATATCACTATTAAATTACGTAAAAGTTTTCCAAAAGACTTAGTATGATAGGACGGAATGTATGCTATCGTATCTTTATAATTATAATAGTTAATATAATATTTTAATAATATGTTAATAAATAATCTAACACCATACAACATATTTAGGTTGTAAAGAATAATAATAACAATAAATATAATTTTTTATTGACAGGCCGTCCCAGCAATGGCGTCAGTGGCGTTGATACTGAATATTCTGTAGTTGACCTCGTTAGGGTCGAGCGACTTGAAAATAAAACGCGGCATTTTATCGCTTATAATCCAAAGAGAACCTTCATTGTCAATCTGGAAAACAAAATATTATTGAGTACCAACTTATAGATATAATTTACACGTTTGAATTGAATGACATTTATTATTTATTCCCAATCGTTAATGATGTTGCTTGTGTTATCTTGAAGGAGTCACCTCTGGCGGTGATTTCTTAGTTAAAATTCGTCGCGAAATCAACATTCGTAATCATGCCTTTAGATCTCGGGCGAAGATGGAATTACAGCTGCGTTTCCAAAAGCAGATGGAAAACCGGCACTTGAAGTCCTTCAGAAACTCTTCGAATCCGTCATCCATAATGGCACAACCCAGGAGGCGTAAAGCAGAAATGTAGTGGTCTTATTGTTCAAGAAAGGCGACAACACTCTATTGCAGTACCACAGACCCATTTCCTTCTTAAGCCGTGTCTATGTACTGTTTTCGAGAGACGTTACAAATCATCTCACTTGCAGATTAGACGACTTCTAACCTCCTGAGCAGACCAAACATATCCTTGGGCAAATTGTACCAAAGAGCGAAGAGTACAATCTGCAACTTTGTCTTGCGTATGAGAACTATGTGAAAGCTTTTGGTTGTGTTGAAATTCGGGCGCTGCTGTCCCCTTCAGCGGTGCCAAATTGACTGTGGCATATTGAAGAGCTGAAGTTTTTGTACAGCAGGGCTACGATGGCTATCCGGGTACAGAACCAGAATACGAAACCTATCCAACTGCAGAGACGGTAAACAGGGTGACTTTATATCCCCGAAACTCTTTACCGCTGCATTGTAAGATGTTTTCAAGCTACTGGACTTTAAAGGATGCGATAAACGCCGATGGCGGGTGCATCACTCACCATCGATTTGTCGACGATATAATCATTATGGCAGAATCGCTGAAGGACCTCAGCAATATGCTCTATGACCTCAAATAATAGTGTCTATTACTATTATTTATCCCAAGTTTCCCAAGTTCTCATAGCCACTGTTAAATACTCAGAAGGTGCAAGGACAGCCTAGGGTGGCGAATAAGACAATTTTTTCTACAATAGGAAAAAGTCAAATAGATGGACTGTTACGGACTGATGAATGAAGAAAAAGGAAACAATATATAACGTGTAACAAAACCCTAAAAACCCTGTGGTTGTCAGAGTCATTATTCAAACGTAAAGAAATAATGATTTCTTATATTTACGCGAACACTACACATTGAATAAAACTACTTTTACGGATTTTATCGCGTTTAATTAACTTATTTTACTTATTTTTATTAATTCCCGACGTTTCATGCCAAGGATGATACGTGGGGCTATTGAAATTAAAAAACATTCTAATTTCCATACAGAGGGAGGACCACCTGCTTGGGATCCTGTAATTAATAAAATTAAAATTAAACCCAAGCATACCACTGCAAGACTTCACAGTAAGTTCATTCTGCGTAGATCGGACCAAAATTAATAATTAAAAAAGCTGAAGGTACTCCGGGTTAACTCTGACATCGGGACGTCAATCACCTCGGTCCCCCGTGACCATGGGTGCTGGAAACCACCCTAAACGTCGGGAATGAAAAATACGATAAAATCCGTAAAAGTAGTTTTATTCAATGTAAAGAAATAATTTTTTTCATAAATCTTGAACATTAAAAAATTTAATTTTAATTAAAAAAAATAGTTTGCAAATTGTATGTGGTTTTATTACCTCTAACTGACACGAGCATCGTTGAAGGGGGGTCTTTCACAATCCTCTTATTCTCCGGATAATGCAGAGTTAATAAAACCACATACATTCGTAAATTATTTTTTTACATTAATATTTTTATAGTGCAAGTTTTTTGAAAAAAAGTTATTTCTTTACGTTTGAATATTGACTCTAACAACGCACTTACCGGGAAACACAGGGTTTTTATTTACATGTTGTATATACACAGACAATAAGCAATATCTATTTTATAAACGCTGATTAATTCTGATTAGGTGATGCCCTGTTCCAAATTGAACCCAAGTATTGTTACTAATATCCTGAGTGTATTTACCTTTACATCGTTAGGGAACTCATAAAGTTCAGGATCACTGAACAGCAGGGGATTGTTTTCCGGTGTGTATGGTTTATTTGAATTCCAACAACCAACACCATCTCGGTTGACCTTGAAAGAAAGAAAATTATGATCATTAAAATATTTATGACGATTTAATTTCAAGCTTTACTATTTTAGAAACGTTGCAACTACCTCGTCCTTTTAACTAGGAAATTAATTACACTAAGCGTGCATTTCTAATATCTGTGCCTAACGTGCTATTATATAAACTGACGATTGATTTCGGAACTTGTTTGGTGGAAATATTTCACGATAGCCTTGGAGCTAACGAACTCTTGAAATGTCTACGATAAAATACATTAAATCAGTCTTATATCTAACATTATGTTACAGGATTTTTATTAAATTATAAACTTTGTAATGCACTTAGAGAAGCATAATTTTAATGGGTTTTAAAAGATTTATTTAATCTTTTTTATGAAGTGTTTTATTTATACATCTATAGGTAACCGCTCCTTTATTTTCTTTATTTTATACGTTACGTACACCTTCTAATATAACATAACTAATTTTTTTGGTATTTATAGAAGTTAACATAAAAGAATCGCCGTTCTGTCACTGTTATTTATATGTTTTTAAATAAATTAAATGATATCCTTAGAACCAATTAAAACATACGAAACACAACAGCATTAAGGCGCCATTTTACGCTGGTATTCTGTGAGAACGTGGTTCTACCCCGGTCGAGCCGACCCATTCGTGCCACTACCTAACATAGCTGCAGCCACCACCAGCCATAACCACGTAAGGATGATAGTTGTTAAATACAAAAACCTAGGTAATTCCATGACGATAGATTTAATAGTTATTGCGTTATATCCGTTCATACAGACAGAAACAATTTTTTATTATAATACATAAACAATAAATTTTGTTCATTTGAAAGCAAAAGTACGAATATTATAGACAAACACTTAAATTTTATTTATGTGTATAGAATATAGAAATTTTTATTATTAGTTTAAGTAAGTACCTACGCATTTTAATTACAAGGTGATAGGCTCAGATTATATATCAAAAAGTTCTACCCAAGGTGGTAAAACTCCATTTCTGTCCTTGGAGTGCATGTGGGTGGGTGGCTGGGTGCCATCTTTTTACCTATATCGGCCATCAAGTAGCAGTGCGTATCATTCTCGGTTACAACTGTACGCTTGCGGAACTCCTTGCCTTTATATATTCGACGTGCTCAGTCCCTTTTTTCTATCATAATCTATTCAAAGCCGTCCTTAATTATTGTATCTATCATAACTATCATTGTCGTGATCTTGCGTTTTTATATTTATTTATTTATTTCCTTCTACTTAATTGTTTAGTTTATGTACACCTTCCTTATTCGCAATTCATTGTAAACAATAGTTCTTCGGGCAAAAAGGTTATCAGGAAGAAATCGCTTCCAGAGCGTTAAGACCGCCTATTTTACCTTCTATACGTATAATCTATTCCATTTCTTTTTAATTTTAATGTGTATTAATTAGAGATGCGACGAATAGTGATTTTGCCGAAAAGCCGAATACCGAATACTATTCGGTTTAAACTGTACCGAACCGGATATTCGGCCGAATTATTCGGTTTGCGATTTCCTTGTTTTGCCGCGTAAACAGGTTAGCGAAATAGAAGATGACAAAACAAAAGTGAAGTTCACTTTATGTAGTTGTGTTATTTCCTGCGGTGGATCAGGCTGCAACGTCTATAAAACTGGAATGGTCATTTGGGAAAAAGCACAAAAATTTTTGCTGAAAATTTAGTGCTCATTTAGCGGTAATTATGCAGCAAAATGAAATTTCACGCCAAAAGAGCTTGATCAAAAATTAGAGAATTGCTAGTTTTTAATTAAGCTAGCAGTGTTCTACGATCTAAATCGATAACCGCTTAATACAGCACCAAATAAAAGTATCAATAAGTTAGTGCTCATTTAGTGCTGTCTACAGACCACACGTTTAGAATAAGATTTTTTGCTCTCGAAAAATGCGAACTAGTAAGAAAAACACTTTTTAGGTTTTTTCTTCTTCATATATATATATATATATATAGCTATTCAAAGAAGCGACCCTGATACTGAAAGCCCAGAAGATGAAATTGAAACAAACAGGGGAAGAGCTCTACAAGATGTTACAAATTTTTTAGAGAAATCGCATATAGGATTTTACCCAATTGCCGTGGAATTGGATAGTTATGTAGCTGAAAGTCTTCTCCCTAGAAACCAGAGCCCATTTGATTGGCGGGCAAAGCATAAGTTTAAATACGCATATTTAGGTAATTTAGCCAGAGTATTTCTAAGAGCTCCTGGTAGCAGTGTCTACAGCGAAATATTATTTTCAGAAGCAAGAAACCTTTACGAGGAGAAACGCAATAGACTATTGCCAAAGAGGGCTGAGGGCTTGGTGTTTCTGCACCATAACTTACCCTTGATAAATTTCTAATGCTAAAATATTAATTTTTCTTTTGATTATGTTTTTTTATATATGATCTCACATAAGATTATTTCCTTGACCATTACTGACATAAGTGTGTTCATTAAAAATAAATGTTGTTTTGAGGTTTAATTGCTTTATTTTATTACCTTCTCTAACACATTCTTCATACACTGCAAAAGTAGGGATACATAAAACTAGCATTTTTGCTTTAACGTAAATCTTACTACAGAAGTTCTGTGTTCTTGTTCTATACTATGTAGTCTGTGTACAATAAATAGGTAAGAAAATTGAAATATTTGAACCGAATATATTCGCCACCAAAACCGAATAATTCGGCCGAATACAAATAGTGATTAAGGTGCCGAATACGCCGAAGACCGAATACCAAACGAATATTCGGCGCATCTCTAGTATTAATGTACATACAATTAAGAATATATTGATTGATTGAAAAAGAATCTCCGATTAAAACGCTCTCTAAACGAAACACAGCAGCATTAGGCTCCTATTTTATGCTGGTATTCAGTAAGAGTAGGGTCCTTAGTAGACCCCAGTCGAATCGACCCACTTGTGCTGCAAGAATAATATAGCTGCAGCGTGACTCTATCGCGTTAAAAAGAACGTGGCTTCCCTGTCGCGAGCTCTGGGTTACATTCTAGTCGCAAGTAATATTTATGCAAAAGCACACGGCTTTATGGTGTGATTGTATTGTGATATAATACAATCACACCATAAGTGTGAATATCCCCGTGTGTAACACTGTATTGTAGCCTCCTTACGACGTTAACACATAACCGTTACAACGAGCATGGAACGATTAGAATGTATGAGTGCCTTTATGTTACCACCTACACTTATTGCTCTATAATATCACCTACCTAGATGATATATTTGATAGTATTTTGGATGTTTTCTGTCTGATTGGAAATTTTATTATTAAAACGCAATTCAACAATTAACTTATAAACAATAATTAATAAAGTAAATTACACAGTAAATAATTGCGAGCTCTAAATATAAAGAATCATTAATGATTATAAAGGTGTATTAACTCACTAAATAAGAGCAATAGGCTTAATTGCACTGTTATGTTGAGATTTAAGCGAGATCGATTAATTACTTTGACCTCGCGAATCGTAAACTACCAAAAAATTAGTCTGTTAGTTAATAGCACGGAGTCGAAGTTTTATGAAAGAAACGACCTCTTTGCATAGTAAATTGAGTGAGTGGTTCAAGGAGTCATAACTCAACGGGCATACGCTCGCTAATATGCGAGCATACCACTGTGATCTACCAGCACCAATGAAATTGTTAATTGCAATTCTAAATGATATGTGAAGATTGCATGTTTGGTGGCAAATGAAACCTCATATGGAAAACAACATGTCTGAGAAATTTACAAAAATATTTCGAGGACATTAAAGTCCAGCAGTACGGCGGACTATACCTAGCTCCAAAACTCCTTTGTGTGTGTTTATACGAGTTTATATTGTACATTTACCTGGGTATAGAACAGTACATGATTTGTCTGATCGTAGACGCTTGAAGAAGCTTGAGTGTTCTCACCTCTGTCGCCTAACAGCTGTAAAACAAATAAACACATGAATAAATACAGATTTTTAAAGCATTTTAAAAGTAGGTAACTGAATTATCTGTGCCTACTAAAGTAATTAAGTTTCCTGCAGACCGAAACTGATAATAATGAAGGTGTCATTAATGAATACATACCATGAAGGCTTAAGTGGCCACTTAATCGATAAATATCCTTGATGAAGGATCCCTCTCGGTAAGAAATCTAGATAAAATTTCTTTATATTCGTGACGTATTTCTCACGTGGTAGATCCATGCTGCAGCTATATTATTGGTATAGTTGCAACACGAATGGGTCGGCTCGACCGGGGAAGGACCACGCTCTCACATAATAGCAGCTTAACACTGCATTGTTTCGTATGATGAGTGTAGAGAACAGGAGACCCTTTTTACTGGAAACGAGGCACTCCATCTTAGTCCTCATGGGTGACAACGCATCTGCATTTTGATTCGTAATCGAGGATAGATGTAGATGTCTCTGGGCCACAGCAACCACTTAACATCAGGTGGACTGTGTGCTCGTTTGTCACCCATATTCTACTAAAAAAAAAGAAGAGAATCACGAAAAATGTTACAAATGTGTTATTATCACCGTTCAAGGTACTTCGTCTTCGGAATAATTTTCGTCACTCATCGTCTGTTTGCCGCGTATATAGCTGTGTAAGAATATCCACTAAATCATTTCGTCTTATGGGTGTTGAAATAGGTTACAGAAGAAAAACTAACCAGAAGATGGGCAACAGCGTCTTCCTAATACCAACCAGACGTGGCAACTGTAGCAAATATCATCCTTATGAAGCAATCTATGAGAAGGCCTATGTTCAATTACCTACTTGAATGATGATAATGATGCAAATTTACGTCAAAGTTTCTACTGTATACGCAATCCTGTTTGTGATGTTTTATAACTTTTAACTACCTACCTATCTTAAAATTGTTATAGGAAACATATCTAATGGGATCTCATACTTTTCATCTAATTCCTTATTGATACTTTCAACAAGAAAGATCCTAGTCAACGTGTTTGCAGTATATTTTAAAAGTTATAGCGTAATACATCAAACGAAAGCAAGCAACTTTGATATAAAGGATTTGATATAATATAATATATAGTTATAGATCTGTTACTCTGATGCAATGCTCTTGTTTGTTTTCAAATGGTATTCGCTGTATTAGTTAAAATGTATAAGAATATTTAGTCGACAAAACCCTTAATCTTATATAAATTAAATCATTTAATTATTTCCAAATGACAAATATCACACTACTTCAAGAATTATTTTAGTTCGATATCTTAGAATAATCTGGAGATAAATTACTCTATGGAATATTCTCTTTGTCTAATAACGAAACTAATAAGCAGGCTTTAGGATACACACCTTAAAGTCATTGAAAGCTTCCTTTTTATCGATATGTGTATAATTGCGTAGTAACTCAGTGGAAACGCAGAACTCTTTGGTGCTGGACAAGGCGTGGAAGAACATGGTACGATATCTGAAAGATTAATGTGGAAATTTAAACTGCTGCAATTTATTTAAGTAACAATTTATTTTATTTTTCTTGACTTTTATGTAAAGTTGAACATTTTATTAAGTTGAATTCGTGCCAGCTCCATACAGCTTTAGACCGTTTTTAATTCATAGTCATAAAATTAGCTTTAAATAAAATATTTTTAAATATAATAAGCAAATACATTAATATATATATCAAAAACTCAGATTACTCTGTGTCAAAATCTAAGACAATAAAAATGTCAATTATGTCATATTAATTCGTAATATGTTAGCAGTTAGCATATTTCACACTGACCTCTATATATGCAAGTAGAGGTCAGTGATATTTCACGATATCACCAAATGTTTAATAAGCCCTTTAAATTAACATGTATTATATTAAAGTATTCAATGTACATATACATATATACTGCATTCGTATAAATGTAATTTCATTTTTATTCATTTAACAAAATGAATTGGACTATTATTTAATAAATAAGCAGGCATAATATAACAAAATAAATAACCGTTACAATAGCATAAGTAAGAATACAGTTCAGCACATTCGAACAGCCTTCGACATTAGTTCTGGACAATAAAATTTAATTTCGGGTCAATGTCGATTTGCGAAGACTTAATTTTATTTACGAAAATTCGAATTACATACACCTTTAACATTTCCAAAATATTTATTTTTTAACTTTTATTTTTTATCGTCCACTAAAACAAAAGGTTGACAAAAGGTAAGTTCAACAGCAACAATTATTTAAGAACAATCTATTATATTGTTATTCCTGGACAGTTTCTAAATAGAAACGTAAACTATTAGCCTCTTTGTATTCAATGTTTGTAGAATGTAACCTAGTTTTGTTCGATTGATCATGTACAAAACACATCAAGGACTACGATTACGTGACCTACCAACTCACCCGTTCTCTCTAGGCTCAGTGAGCGCTAGTCCAAATACACCATCGGTCCAGTGAAACTCAACACCGCCAACTTTGTATGACCCAGCTAAGGGCTCGAAATGAAAGTAATGATGGGACACACGCCAGGAATCGTCTTGTTTCAAACTGTAGACAACAACGCCGTACGCTCCCAAATCTGGTACGTAGGCAAAAGCATTGTCGCAAGTATCTTTGTCTACGTCAACGATCTGTGGAAAAGATATAAACGTTGGTACATTATGCATAAGGTGAAGAAGGTAGTTCAAAAAAGTGAATAAGGAATTGTATAGTTTAAATGTTTGTATCAGTAATATTTGTACGAGAGTACCCAAAATGTAGATCAAAATAAAAACATGTCTATTAAAAAAAAGTTATGTCATACTGCCTCATTGGTCTGGTGGTTGTAAGCGCGACTGCAGATCATGAGGTCCTGGGTTCGAATCCCGGGTCGGGACAAAAAATTCGTGCTTGAGTTTTTCTCTCAAGAAATACTCAGTAGCTGTCCGGAGTTAGGAAGTTAGCGGTGTCTCACCCCCGTGCCTCGGAAAGTACGTAAAGCTGTTGGTCCTGCTCCTGATCTCTCTCCGGTCGTGTCGGTTTACCGTCCCATCGGATTATGAGAGTGAGCGATAGAGAGTGCACCTGTGCTTGCGCATACACTTGGGCACCTGTCCTGCGCCGATGGCTAGTCTCCGTTGAGGTTTCTCGGCGTGACCGAATTTCAAACCTCCTGGGGTATCTATATAGTTTTCTCATCGGGTTGGGCTGTATAAATATATATATTTATATAACTGTAAATGAAAATGATAAATATACATAAATATCAATAAAATAAAATAAATACATAAATAAATAAAAACCCAACCAGATGGAAGCCCTCGGCAGGGGAGACCAAACGGCCGAGGGTTATGGGGAAAGGGAAAGAAACCGCCGGATGATGCGGGCGGTATCGAGAAGCACCGCCTTCTACTTTTGAGCTTGGAGCAGTCCGTCACGGAGTCCCAGTCGCCTCAGATGACCCGAGAAGCTGACTGGGATTAACCCGTTCGCAGAAACGACTACAGGTATAATTTCGGTCGACAGTCCACCCCACATGTCGGTCACCTCGTGAGCCGGGTCCAGATATTTTGTTCGCTTATCTGTTTCGGCTTTTACGAGGTTCTCGTCATACGGAATGGTAATGTCAACCAAGAATTTTCAACAGTGGTAGAGCCACGCGGCAGATTTTGCTGTCGCACGGATGGGCCGGCTCGAACCGGGGTGGTACCACGACCTCACAGAAAACCAGCGTGAAGTAGAGGTTACTTTTGCGTTTCGCTTGGTGAGTGCAGGTGGCCGGAGGCCCTTTTTACTGGAAATGAGGCATTCCATCTTAGTCCTCACGGGTGACAACGCATCTACATTTTGATTTGTAATAGAGGATAGATGTAGATGTCTATGAGCCGCAGCAACCACTTACCATCAGGTGGACTGTGTGCTCGTTTGTCACCCTTATCATATAAAAAAAAATATCCTTGACTGTGCCCGGTCCATCAGCAATATATCAGGCTTATTCGCAAGAATGGTCCTGTCTGTGATGATGGCCCGGTCCCAGTAGAGCCTGGCGCGGTCGTTTTCGAGCACGGATTCCGGCATGTACTTACAATAAGGCAGTTTCCGATTCACGAGACCGTATTTCAGAGCGAGCTTCTGGCTACTATGTTGTGCCTATGCAAGTACTCAGAGTTAAAAAGCGCCGAACAACCAGAGATGACATGCCTAAGTGATTCACCGGGATGGCGACAAGTTCGACAAATGTCGACGGTGCCATCCCTTAGGATGTATCTCCGATAGTTGTTGGTCTTAATAACCTGATGCTGTATTTCACAGACAAAACCCTCGGTTTCCCCGAAAAGATCACCAAAACGTAGCCAGTGGAGGGAATTATTATGAACATGACTATTGATACAGTTATACAAGGTGAACTTAACTCTACGTTGTGAATAAATCGAAAATATGTGATTTATTTGTAGAGTTGATCCAATCGAATAGAATGAGCTCTATTATATTTTTAAGAAACAGGTTTGAATAGGGTTATTGACATAGTTATTCCAGTCAAACTGAACTCTACTATAAGAATAAATCAATTGTTTTTTGTTAACTCATGGAATACATCCGATCGAACATACTGACCTCTAATATTTTTTTTTGTGAAACAAGCATGAATATGGTTACTAAAACAGTTATTCAAGGTTAACTGAACTCTATAAATAAACCAATTATTTTTTGTTTATTCATGGAGTACATCCGATCGAACAGACTGAACTCTATTATATAAAGTTTATGTAACAAGTATGATATGGTTACAGTTATACAGGCTGAACTGAACTCTATTTTTTTCAAATAATTGTAATTAACTTACTACATTAGCGAAAAATGAATCTTCCTTCATATCTTCAACTTTGAAGAAATACCTGTGAATGACTTGATCGGTGTTTAGGTCGAAAATTACCAACGACGGACCAGCAATTTGGTTTGGTGAACCTAAAAGCAACGGATATTATTAGATTATTTTTTATTAAATTAGAAAAAATTGTCCTAAATACTTTTATAGTGTATTATATAACTTTATATATAGAATAGATTTTTTTTACGGATTTAGGTTATAAAATTCTTATATGGTTCTCTTCTGCAAAATAAATATTATAATTTAAATGCCACTCACATTACCCCATAACAAGATTCCCTTTTTTTTTTGCGGATGGAAAATCATCAAATGACGCCTTTCGCTCTGGGTGGAGCGGAAGGGAGTGTCAGACTTTTACTGACTAAAAACCATCCGTGTTCCTTCAGTGCCCTTACGTTCCGGAGCCGCGGTATCTCTTTCGAACAGCCCGCAGCCCCGGCAGGCGTCGGCCCTTGCGGGCCCCTTCACGCTGCTGACACCTCTTTGAGGCGCGCGTGGAACAAAACGCGCCGTTGACACGGCCTGTCGTCGTTAGACGGACGGACGGCGAGCTACCCATTGCTCGCCGTCCACAGGCCCGCGCCTAGACTATCCCGCCCGCGCGAGGACTATCGCCTCCAGATCCCATGGCGGCAATCCGGCAAGGAGGCACGCTGCCTCGCGGGAGATCGTGCGGTAGCCGCGAACCATTCTCACGGCAACCACCGTTTGGGGCGCGTTCAGGTGGTGGACGGCAAGCCGCGCCAAACCACGCGCCCACACCGGGGCCCCGTAAAGGGCCATGGACCGCACAATCCCCGCGTAGAGCCTCCGGCAGGAGGCGTTTGGCCCCCCCAGGTTCGGCAGGAGCCGCCTGAAGGCAGCCCCGGTCCGTTCCAGTTTGGGAGCCAAACGTCGGAAGTGCTCGACGAAGTTCCAACGGCCGTCGAGGACGAGTCCTAGGTACTTCAACGTCGACTCGACGCCGATGGATACCCCTCCTACCATCGCTGAGCATCCCGGTGGTGGCCTGTTCCGAGGACCATGGAAGTGCATGGCCTCGGACTTGTGCAGAGCCACCTCAAGACCCAGCTGCCGGATCCTCTCAACGACTATCGCAACCCCGCATGTCATAGTTTCCGCCGCCGCCTCGTACGACCCCCCCTGTGCCAGTACCAGCGTGTCGTCAGCGTAGCAAACTACGCTGACGCTGGTAGGGAGGTCGGCGCGCAGCACCCAGTTGTAACCGATGTTCCACAGGGGCGGCCCCAGAACCGAACCTTGTGGGACACCGCACGACATCTCTCGCCGGTTCCACTCACCGTTGCGACCGGGGTAGATGACGGCCCTATCCGTCAGATAGTCCCCGACTATACGACGGAGATAGGTCGGCACCCGGTGATACCGGAGTGCCTCCCTAATGCAGCTCCAGGGCATGGAGTTGAAGGCGTTGGCAATGTCGAGAGACACCGCCAAAACAACCCCCCCCCCCTGGCCACTGCATCCCCCGTCGTGAGGGCTCTCACGCGCATGATGGCGTCCACCGTAGAGCGCCTCTTGCGGAAACCAAACTGGTGTTCCGCAAGATCCGGCCCCGTCCCCGCAAGGTGCTCGGCGAGGCGGTTTGCAATGACTCTTTCAAGGAGCTTGCCCACCTCGTCGAGCAGCACCACGGGCCGGTATGCGGACGGAGAGTCCGCAGGGCGCCCCGGCTTCCGAATGAGGACCAGCTTCCCCGTCTTCCAACGAAGCGGGAATTGGCCTCTCTCCAAGAATGCGCTTAGGAGCCCCTCCAGTCGGGGCCCGAGAGCCTCTGAGGCCAGGACCCAGGCTTTGCCAGGGAAGCCATCGGGTCCTGGGGCGGTATTCCTGGCGTTGAGCCTACCTACCGTCACTCTCAGCTCTACCCCGGTCCCTTCCGGGATGCCGTCGTCGTCGTCCTGGTAGTCCGCTTCCGGCACCGCAGGTGGCGGAGCCATAGGCGGGGGCGGATGTTCCCCTCGCGCAGGAAACAGAGCGCTCACCACGTCCTCCACGAGCTGAGGCCGGAGACTCTGCGTCAGCGGGGGGGCCCAGGTGCGGAGTTTATCCCGCACCATCTTGTAAGGGCGCCCCCACGGATCTCTGTCGAGAGTCTCCAGCATCTCCTCACGGGCCCGATCCCGGGCCCGCATGACAGCCTCCCGGAGGGCGGTCTTCGCCGCTCTGTATCCCTCGTACAGCTCCGCCTCAATGGCTGCCACATTCGGTGGACGAATGCGGAGCCTGCGATGCCTGGCGTACAGGTGCCGCGCGGCGACACACGCCTCGCGCAGAGACGTCAGCTCACGCGACCACCAATACACCTGACGCCGGGCGCTTCCTGGCCGGACGCGGGGCATTGCCACGTCACATATCTCGGACATGGCCTCCTGGAACCACCCTGCCTCATCATTGACGTCGGCAGGCCTATCTGGTGATGACACCCAGGCCTGCACGATCGAGGCTTCCAGCAGGAGCTCCCGGTCCAGCTGCTTCAGCGCCCAACGCGGACCACTCGGAGCCTGTTGGACTGGCGCGCTCGAGGGCTGGGTGGAGACGTCAAACCGGATGTACCGGTGGTCGGAGTAGGTCTCCACCCCCTCCATGACTCGCCAGTCAATGGCACGCGGCGACAGAGCGGGGCTAGCGAACGAAATGTCCACCACCGACTCGCCCCGCATCCGCACACACGTGGGGACAGAACCCCGATTTAGGACGATCAGGCCTGTCTCCAGAGCCCAGTCTTCCACCATCCTCCCCCGCACATCTGTACGACGAGAACCCCAAGCCAAGTTCTTGGCATTGAAGTCCCCGAGGACAAGCACGGGGAGGGGATAGCTTCCGACGACGACTGCTCTCAGCTCTGCAAGAGAGTTGTGGAGCTCGGCGAGAGATCGGTTCGGGGAGAAGTACACCCCCACAACGACGAACTCCCCGATCCGTGCCGCTACGCACCCCTGACCCCTCCTGACCCCTTCAAGGGTCGGGGTACCGGCGGCGGCCGAAGAAATGATGGCCACTGAGCCGTTAAGGTCCGCCACCCAGTCCTTCCTAGGCCAGACAAAATACGGCTCAGCGACTACAGCGATGTTAATCGACCACTGCGCCATGCTCTGGAGCAACAGATCCTGAGCGCAGGCGCAGTGGTTGATATTCGCCTGGAGGAAGCTTAATGGGGCCGTTATAGGCATTCCATTTCAGCTTCCTCCACGGGGCGCCCCTCTGCAGGCGTCGGTGTCGCGGCGGCGGCGGCGGCGGCGGCGGCGACAGTGACGGCGGCGGCGGCGGCAGTTGCAGCTGCGGCGGTGGCCATAGAGGCGGTGGCGGCGGAGGAGGGCCCTCCCCTACCCGCGGCCTTGGCCTTGGCGGGTGGCACGCAGGCCCTGCTTCCGGCCCAGTGATCGGCTAGCTTGCCGGTCGCCGCACATGCATCACAGTGCGGCGTGGCGCAGCAGGTCGCCGATATGTGTCCGGGCTGACAGCAGCGGAAGCAGGGGCCACTGCGGTCAATCTCCGAGGCGCATTTCACTGATACGTGATGCCCCACGAGACAGCGGTAGCACCTCAGAGGTCTGGGCTCCATCAGCTTAACCTGCGCTGAGACCCAGCCCACCAGAAGCCTTCGGCCCTCCACTATGGTTTTGGCCGCCGTAACAGGGCAGCACACCGTGGCGGCATGCATACCCTGTTGGTCCGGGCGTATGGCGCCTGACCTGACCTGGTCAGTAGTGCACCCCCCGGACCTGGCGACGGCGGCCACCAACTCCTCCTCCGATACCGAGTCGTCCAGACCCATGATGCGCAGGTCTGCGCATCTGACGGGCCTGGACACTCGGGCCTCGTCCACGTTCAGGGACGCTTTGAGCTTCGCAGCCAGAGCGTCCGCAGTCGCGCCACTGGATTCCCCGGGGATCTCCAGCATACGGGCCCCCGTCTGGGTGACTTTGAGCCGGAGGCCCCCAGTGATCCCGAACTCCCCGAGATCCACCGCCTCTTTCGCCTTCGCGAGCAGATCGCGGTAGGTAACGCCCTTCTTTTCCGCGTCCGGCTGTAGTGTAATCACTACAGCTGCAGTCTTCGGGGCGCGGAGCCTAGCCGCGATCTTGTGCGCCCTGAACTGGCGCTGCCGCTCCTGCTCTTTGGCCTTTTTGGCTGCCTTCTTCCCCTTCTGTTTGTCCCCGACCACCTGCCAACCGGCTTCTGCCGTGGGAGGTGTAGGGAGCTGGGGGGGCGGTGGCGGCGGCGGCAGCTGGCTTGCCGCTGGCGCTGGCCCAATCGCCGCAGGCACTGGGGCTGGCGCAGCCACCACCTGTGCTGCCGCCTTGCCCTTTTTCGCCTTCGCCTTGCGTCTCTTTCCCGTTGCCGGCTTAGCCGGAGCCGGTTCAGCCGGTATCGGTTTTGCCGGAGCCGGCTTTTCAGGGGGGGAGGGGCAACTGCAGCCCCACCCGAGGGCTGGCTGGACGGCCCCGGCCTGGATGCGGCAGCCAAGGCCGTCGCGTAGGAAACCGTTGCCGGCCTCGCCGCCGTCTTGTTTGCCCCTAGGGGGGGGGGGGGCGCAGGACGATGCCCTCCAGCACGGAGAACCGGTGCTGGAAGGCAGCCAGCTCCTGCCGGACCAAGTTCAGAACCTGGTTCTCCACCGGCACGGGCTGGCTTGGGCGCTGCGTCTGGGGCGCCGCGCGAGAGGCCGGCTCATGTAGAGGCCAGGTGTCTGCTCGGAGCTTCTCATTCTCCTTCTGGAGAGTCTCCATGGCGGACGTCAGGCGGGCCACGTCCGCCCGCAGCTTCGTCACCTCGTCCGCATTAGGCCCGGCCCCAGCAAAGTTGGCCTCCGCAGCCGCCATGATGGAGGCGGAGGCCGCGGGAATGGCCTTGAATTTCGAGGAGGACTTTTGCTTGTTGGCCACGACCTTGATCGCGGCCTCCACCTCCTTTACGAATCTGGCCTTACGCTCCACCTCGGAGCCGCCAGTCGCATCTGTTTCTTCGCCTGATTCCCGAGCCATATCGTCCGGGTGGCGCCCCTCCTCGGCAAGCTTTGCCGCTCGTTCGGCCCTCTGATTGGCAGAGAGCTCCC